CGAAACGTATAGCCAACTAAAATCCATTACTTCATCAACAATATCATGCAATGAAAAATTCACGATTCATTATCAAAAGCAAATTGAATTGTATAATCGAATGGTTGTGCTATGGCAGCTGCCCTGCGGGCGATGCGAAATATTAGGATATTTTTCATGAATATTTAAATATCCCGTCCAAGCTTTTGCCAGCATGTCTGGAGCCTAACAAAAAAGAATTTTATGCTGGGTGCTCACAATGATAATTTACGATTATTTTTAGATGAACTACTTACTTTGGTTGCCTACACAAAAGTCTATAAATTTGCTGACCGTCAGTTCGTCCAGGAAAATTAAAATTAGGTCCGAATACACAAAATAGCCTGATAAAGACGCACGCGGTTTGCGGGATAAAATTTATGCAAAATGTCTTGTTTTAATTGACTTGAAGTTTCTTCCATCAGAAGTCGACATAGAAAATGAACCTCGAGGATACAACAATTACATCGGATCCAAAGCAAGGGCTCGCTTAGACTAAAATTCCATTTATAGAAGTGGGTTGACTTCGTTGTCGCGACTTGGGCTTGTTGTCAGGGTGACTATGTAGAACGCACCTAGTCCGAAGTCGTCTGCCATAGTAGTCGTCATGGTTCCCAGCATCAGAAAGTGGACTTGGTACATTCTCAAACGTTTCGCCGGCATCGTAGTCGGCATCATCAGTGAGTGCTGCCATTCCCTGCACCAAGCTACGAAGTAGTCAGAGACTTATCTGATTTAATCACCCACTATCTTACTAATTCGTCTATCTTTTTTGAAAGAAGACATGACGGCAAAATTAGGACATGGCAAAGGTCTCAGCTTGTCTATCTTTGAATAAATGGTCTCCTTATGAGAATTTATTCTTCAGTAGAGTAATTTGACCTACAAGCTTACAAGCTTATATCTTATCATCTCAACCATACTTGCTTACGGATTTATGCAGTCTCGGTCGGGGCTTTCTCTAGGGTCATTGTGCAGTGATGACCAGAGGCTGACATTGGTCTTGTGAAAACACAGATTAAGGGCCAGCATTGCATATTTACTTCAAGACACATACATAGACAGAGGCCGGATAGTGTTCTTACTTTAGTGTTGACGTGAGACTTTTACAAGAATGACACCCAGCTCTGATGATGTCCAACGAATGATGGACGAAAGCACGTTTTCACCCGAAACGAGGGAGAAATTCTCGTGGACTGGGTGAACATGAACATCAAAGCCAAACGGTTGCAGTGCAACGGAATTCATCCGTCCTCTTCCGGTGAGATTGATCTACGAATCTGACATTCATGCACTTTCATGCGAAATGAAAGTCCCCCAACAATGTTATCTCAGGAGGTTCATCGAAGTCCAATCTCTCTTCGTAACTAAAATCTCAACCATTTAACGGCCTTTTAGGATATTCGCAGTCTTCGTAGCGCCCGACCACTTAAGAACTGGTAAGCAAAATCCTCTACGAGAGTAGCCTTGTAAATAAATAGTCTTGACAATAAACTCGTGGAAAATTTAATTAAAATGTCTTATTAGCCAGATAGTCTTGAAAAGCTGGAAGGTAGATGATCTTATAATTACATGACCAGAAACCGAATGTTCTGATGACCGATTATGATGCACTATAATTCAGCGCACCGTTCTTTCAGCTCGATGAATCCATCTTGCCAAGCCTTCGTCTGCCCGACTGGAGTGACAATTTCTAGGCGAAGAGTGGGTCTAGACAGCGCCATAAATCATCTAATACCTGACCTGTAGTTTTCCGAGAGATTTGCGCCAAGGGCGACTTCTCGGTTTGACGATAAACAGAGAAGACGACAAGCGAAGGTTTGGCAGAGATTCATCTAACCGGGAGAAAGATGCGTCAAAGACTTGTACGCTC